AAGCTGGCTCAAACTTGGTTAATTAATCAAGCTCAGCCAAAAGTAGCTCGATCTTCACTTGACTCGTGTACACCATCAGTTGAGACTACAACTCCTCCCTCTATCACTCCCAAATCCGCTTCTCGCGGACACGGCATGCTCTCCATACCTCTTTCATTATCTTGCACTCATCTAACTGCACAACTCCCCTCCTTTTGCTTGCTCAAGGCTTCACACTCAACTCCGAAAAGCTCTCAGTGTCCATGCCTCGATCCGAGCTGCCCCTCTTCCTTCCACATGTGCGCAACCAGCCAGCATATGAGCTCCACACGAGCGGCTCCTCGCACGTGCTCAGCTCCAGTTCGTCAACTTCTCCCTTCCCCACAACCTAACCCTTCTTTCCTTCAATCACCACATATTTGACATGTGCTCACCCTACCTACATCACTATTACGAGCACACTACCAAAGCTCGCCTCTACAATTTATTCACCAAATTCCAAATAGCACTTCCCATTTTAGCCAGCCCACACTAGCAAGCCCACCACTAAACACCGACCCTGATCTCTCCCCAACTACAACTCTTGGTTCTACCTCACGCACCCACTGTATAGAAGTTTGCAGCAGACCTTTCTCTTATTTTCCCAGCTCAATTCCACATTCTCTCCACCTGCCATTATTCCTTAAGCAGCCATTAGCCTCCCCTCACCCTTTCCCTCTCACATTCTCTCTAAACCAAGAGAATGTTTCCTTTCACCCTCCCATTTTCCCTCTCTAGTTCTATCTCCCTCTAACATCTCCCATTTGCTCTCTCTCCCAATTAGCCTCCATACTTAAGCAAATAGATGGTTTACTTTTGCCTCTACATGGTCGAACTTGCACGAAAGCATAAAAATGCAACCTTAAAACTCCCAAAGCCTAGATTGTAACGTTTTAGGTGCAACATAAGGAGCTCTCAAACACTTTCTTAAAAATGACAAAGAAAACTAGTAAGAGACGTCCGCGGCACAGCGAGAAAACATGCGCATGCTTTTCTTAACACGGTGGGAAAAACTATATATGTGTTGCAAAGATTTTTTATATAGAAACACATGCACGCCTTTCTTGGGGTGGTGGGTTACGAAAAACGCATGCACGCCTTTTTTTACTTATGTTAAGAAAGACAAGGGTGGACCTAGAAAGACTTAGGCATATTGCATAAAAAATGATCTTAATTTATTAGAAATTAGAATTAAATGAAAATATGACAATAGGACGCATTGGAGAAAAATGATTCATGTAGCCAACCACACTTAGTGGGATAAAGGCTTTTTGTTTTTTTCTTTTTTGGCACAACCCCACTTAGTGGGATAAAGGCTTTTTGTTGTTTTCTTTTTTGGCCTTTTTGGCATGGTGGGTAGGCCTAACTATCTTGATGCAACCCCCATAAGCTATGATGACACCAAAAAATTGCCAAAGTTCAGATTGAAGAACTCCAAACAAATTAATTAAATGAACATAAAATAAAATGTAAAAATAATAAATATAATGAGAAGTACATAATTATTTGTGTGCATTTTTCTGCAGAGCAAAGAAATCTTGTGCTCGCATGCTTCTTTTATGCAGATACCTCATACACACCTTTATTAACAATGTGGGCTTTAAAGATTACAGCCGCAATGTCTTACAACCTTGAATATGCACACCTCTCGTGACAAGATGGGCAAGCCCAAACTCTTGAGGTAGTCTCTTACATGGGAATGACACTAGGGCGTTTAAAGATTACAGCCGCAATGTCTTACAACCTTGATCATGCACACCTCTAGTGACAAGATGGGCAAGTCCAAACTCTTGAGGTAGCCTCTTACATGGGAATGACACTAGGGCACTACCGTAACTTGGACCAAATTAAATTGCAAGGGATAGAGCCAAACGAACATGAACATGAACGAATGAATGAAAAAAATGTAAAATTAAAAATGAAATAGAAACCTAAAATGTATTTTAAGTTGCATTTAAAATATCTAAGCTGAGCGCATTTGTACTTTGAATGAATTCATAGGAGGCTTGCAATAAATTTCGTAGCTCACCACTGAGCAATAGGATCTTTCTAATGTGCATTCAAACTCTTCTACAAAATTGATATACAAAAACAACAGGGAATTAAATTGCTCACCATTTAGCATAAATAAAATCTTCTAATAAGTATTCAAACTATGTTGAAACTTGCATTAAATGAAATAAGAGAATCAAAGGAATTTGCGCAAGACCTATAATGAATTTAAAACTATGTCAAAAAGTGTGAACTAAATGTCATTGAATAATTAATAATTCGATAACTTATAGACTAAACGCAAACATCGAAATGCATTATATGAAATACACGATAAGACTTATAATGTCTTATGTGCCACTGGATCTGCAATACAAGCTTATGAACGGACAAAAAACATTATTTAAGAACTTCAAAATGGAACTTTGCACATATTACGATGTTCAAATAAATAAGGTTATGTACTAATTTTGCAACATTTTTTAATTTAAATTTATTGACTTAAAAAATGTGCAAATCATTTTTTCTGAAATATCCTAAAGTCTTTAGAGTTAAATATGTTTGCATGTGCTTCATTGCTCATCCTAAATACGTAAACTTAAGCATATAAGAATGCTACACATGCTAAATATTAGTCCAAGTTATAATTCAAGCTCCTCAAGAAGCCCGTAATTATATTAAATTTTAGTAAAATCTCTTTTTAAATCAAATCCAAAAATCATTAAGCATTGCATGCTCTCACGTGTGTTGCCTACCTATAGGCAGGGTCATAAATCTCACTTTAGAGAGTTCGATCATCCTCTTTAAAATAATTGAAGTTGAGAAGACTGAACCTATCCATGACAAGTCTAATATTCATCTTCACAGGATTGGAGTTGACCCAATGAATGCCTTAATAACATTCAAGTGATAAATATTAATTATTTAAATGTGAATAATCAAATAATTAACTCCTTGATGATTATTGTATTAAAAATTAGCCTTAATCAGAGAGATCAAATTTCAATATTAAGCCCCAAAAGACAATTGAATAAATTCAATTAAACTAAATTATGGACTTAGTCCTCTGTAAGTGAGATAGAGTTAACAATGTTCAAAGTTATCCAAATCTCTAATGATAGGCGAGTTGTAAGAAAATCTCATTCGGATGGAATTTTATTTTTAAAATATCTTCAAAATTTAATAAAAAATTATTTCAAATTTAACATTCAAATCTTTGAATGCAATTTTATCATTTAAATGATATGAGAAAAATCTCATCTATCATCCACAATTATTTGTCAATGATGATAAATTTGACATTAATCTAAGCTCGCAAAAAATAAATATTATATAAATCTACTAATTTATTCATACTCAAAATAATTCACCAGTAAGAATGCGTCTTGAGTCTTTTGTCAATGTAATTTAGTCAGTCAGCTTCACAAGAAAATAATTATGATCATAGCCCTTTGAATGGATGGTTTGGCCAGTAAACTCTACTATATTATGTTAATGACTATAGCTCATATGTTCTCTGACAACTTTCTAAATTTTTGAGTTGTGAATCATAGAATATACATGGCATGACACAAAAGCCTCTGTTAGCTAAAATCAACTTCATTTTGTCCCATTAGAAAAAACATCCACCCCACGTCTATTGAGTCTCATTAAACGAAGCAATCTATAGTTGTTGACAATGACAATTTTATTAGATGAGGCCGACTATCTTCTCTGATTAAGCAGACAATGAACCATGACAACCCGAGGACAATGGAACTATATGACATTAATCGGGTTCGTCATCATTCCACCCACCATATGTTCTAAGCTTATGATGATAAATTTCATAATCTAAAATCAAAATATGACTCTAATAAATATTGAGCAATCAATAATACCCTAATAACTAACCTTAATTGAGAGCATTCTCTTGTTATCAAAAGGGATAATTAGTCATGAAGACTTGCGCCTATGGAAAACCTCGAACCCCATATATTAAATTCCTCGCAAAATTAAGATAAAATCTCTAGGTAGTGTCTTTTCTATAATCTCACACGTCTTCTGAAAAATTTGACCTGAAACCTCAACATAAAACAGATCCTTCTAGCTGTAGCCCCCTTCATTCCAAAAATTTCGAACTGATATCAAAAGGGATAATTAGTCATGAAGACTTGCGCCCATGGAAAACCTAGAACCCCATATTTTAAATTCCTCACAAAATTAAAATAAAATCTCTAGGCAGTGTCTTTTCTATAATCTCACAGTCTTCTGAAAAGTTTAACCTGAAACTTCAACATAAAACAGATCCTTCTAGCTATAGCCCACTTCATTCCAAAAATTTCGAACTGACAACAAGATGATATTTCAACAAGATGCACTAATTCTAATATTTCTCCAATTTAATCAGTTCATTCATTCCAGCATTGATTACATGGTAATCAAATCATTCTCAATTGTGCAACACAAACTCAGGTCATTATCATAAATCATTCTTATGTAAATCAAATTGTCATTATCCTGCCTAGCAAAAAAAATTGAACTTTCCATCAGCTCATGGTTCTAGAACAAGATTAAGCTTCGATTAATCAGGATGCCAGTGGCAAACAATGGTCAGAAACCGTAGAAAAATAGTGAAAATAACAAATTCAGCCGTGCCACAAAGAGAGTGGATCTAACGAAAATAACTTTAATTAAAAACCAGTAATGACGTCATGTTTGGCGGAAACTCCCGCCAAAGTAGGGTCTGGGTAGCGTTGGAAAAAAAAGACTAGTTAAAAAAGCTGATTGCCGGACTAACAATAAACAATATTAACAAGAAAAATGCTAGATCAATATTGACTGCAAGTACCTTCTAGCTCTATCTTTTACATCCTGAAAGCTCACAACTCATGAAAATCGGATTTTTAAAAAAAAAAAACTAAGAAAAAGTCCTTTCTTTCTTTGGTAATGAGGTTAATAAATCGGTCTATTATCTTCGTAACCTTTAAAGCTTCAAGGATGTAGAATACCTTGTCGACAAGACCAGTTTCCTGGTCTTTTTTGGTATCATAGAGACATCTGAACGGGAGTTCTCTAGATTTTCCGATGCCCAGTGTATTGATTCCCGTAGATTCTGCGAACAGAGAGTGACGACAGGAAAGAGGGACTCTCCGGACGTCGCTACTTGAAGGAAAAGCTTTGCCACTGCAAGTGGCAAGGCCGGCGTTTGTCAACAGAGCAACGGCCGGTGGCCGGAGATGGGTGAGAAATGGATACATCAGCACAACGTCGGCTTATCCCTCCGCTCTTTGAAGGAAAAGCTTTGCTACTGCAAGTGGCAAGGCCGGCGTTTGTCAGCAGAGCAACGGCCGGTGGCCGGAGATGGGTGAGAAATGGATACATCAGCACACCGTCGGCTTATCCGTCCGCTATCCAGTTGAAATCGATTGTAGTCCGAATGGGCACGAAGGTGTAGGTCAAAATTTGTAAATAATTATAGCAATTAACACTTTCTGCCTATTATATTATTATTATTACAAATGGCTGAAAAATCAAATTGTGAAAAAAATAACTTAAGATAAATAAATAAAATTTAAACAACGAAATTAACATTCATAGCATCAAATTCTTAAGTATCTACTTATCTCACATCAAAATAATATTTTACAAGCCCAACACCCCTACTTATATATGAAAATTTGGATTTCACTGTTCCATACTACTGAAAATTATAAATTACATGTTGAGTTTGTAAAAATAATAGTTTTAATGTGAGATAGGTAACTGCATAACAATTGAATACAATATATCTAAATTTCTATTTTAAAAAAATATTACATTTATCATGCATTTAAAATTAATTATTTTTTAAAATTGGCTTTTAAAAATTTATTGAAATATAATAATGTAATAAAATAAAATAATTTTATGATAAAATCATATTTAGAATTAAATATTATTAGACTAAGTACATTTTTTTCTTTTCTTTTTTTTGGAATAATATAATAATTTTAAGATGATGTGATACTAAGAGATGATTAATTTTTATAATTAAAGATTTAATTCCATGCAGCTTTTGAGCTATCATTTTCAATTATAAAGTAAATTATATTTTAAAGATGTTAATTGATGTGTGTTATAAGATTATTGGCTTACCATTGCACGAGAATCCATCACAAATTCAGATAATAAAAAATGAAAGACAAAGATTTCAAAATTATTTATGTGGAAACCCTGAAAAGGGAAAAAAAACACATGGTCTTGCCCAATTGAAATGATCTACTGTAAGTTAGTGATATCACATAAAAGCCCTTGTTGCACGGGCAGAAAAAGGGTTAAACAGTTTCCTAATCGGGTGTGATTGCAATCAAGAACATTTGCTAGAACTTCAGTACACTGTCTTCGAGATGTGTCGTTACTTTTGTAACTTATGTTGGGAATCTATAGCATGCATCATAATTCCACAAAGGGCTTCGTTACAATGAATTGGGGGTGTTCAACAATGGTCAACAAAAGTAGAAGAATACAGGAGTGAGTGGCATTCGTCGAGTATTAGGTTTGAGACGACATTGAAATTCATCTTCGTCTTCTCAGCCTAGCTCGAAGTCCATCTCTTCCTTTGGTTCAAAGTCTAAGCCCTAGTTTTTCTTCCATGAAGGAGGTTGGGCTCTATTTATAGAGAATGGGAAAGGCCTCCATGCAAATAAGAAAGGAATTCAAACTACTCCATCAGATAACCCGAAGAGGTTATCTCAATCAAATGACATTATGTAGGCATTGAGTTTTTTAGTTATGTCTGAATTTAGTGATCTTAGGATCGTTGGATTTATTTTGTCAAGAGGTTCGATTTGACTACAAATTTGTCGGATTTGAAATTCATTTGACATTCCAATTGTGTACCAAGTAATTGGACTAAATTTGATGTCATTGTATTTTTTTTCATCAAGTTCATCAATTTTATTGTAAGTTTGCTAAAATTAGAGTTTTTTTTTATCATTTTTAATGTGCGTTTGAATATTCTTTGCTCAAAAAAAAGTCTCTAGATTCATATCACGCCTCAAGATTCATGTCGGATAAAATTTTGTTGATGGTGTATTAGTTGGCCTCTATTTTCGGGCTAGGCTAGTTTCATCGTTTGAAAAAACAAAAAAATTTAGTTATATAAGTATGTATGTGTGTCTACATGCACGTCACACACACACACACACACACATGTATAATAATATATATTTTTGGCAAGAAAAGAAACTTAGCCTAGTTGGCATGAGTCTTTCCTTTCTTATTGGTTGTCCCACATTCAAGTCACCTGAACTTCATGTCTATGCTTATTTTTTTTCGTCGGTGCTGGAGGCGAAGGCAGACAACAAAGATGGTCGAAGGTTGTCGGTGGTAGCCTAAGGTGGAGCTGGTGGCGACGACTGCTGCAGGGGGATGAGGCAGCTGGAGGCTATCAGAGGAGGAAAGCTAAAAGCTTCTAAAAGTGGTTTGGTGGCCTGATATGGGCTTGATTCGACTCGAATTAGGACAATTTTGATGTCATTGTGTTCTTCTCATCAAGTTGGTCAGCTTGATTGTAAGTTTGCAAAATTTGGAGTTTTTGATCATTTTTTATTTGGGTTTGAATTTTTTTTTACTTAGAAAATTATTTTTAGATTCATGTCACCTCTTGAGATCCATGCAAGATTATAAAAATTTGTTGATGGTATGTCCGTTGGCCCCTATTTTCGGGCGATGTTACTCTCGTTGTTTGAAAATACCATAAATTCACTTTTTTTTTATATAATTATTTGGTGTGTGTGTGTGTGTCTAAATTTTGTGCTGCGTACCCAGGCCTATTAGTTGACATCCACGATATAAGACCCCTCAAGTCTAGGGTTCGAATCCCTTCTTGCACACTTGGCCTTAAAGAGGTGGTACTTGAATTGTTAGACACATTAGGGGTGAGTGGAGTGAGGGGAGGGGTTGGCCATTCATTTATCCCTTGTGTCTTGTGTCTCCT